CTATAGCAGCGCTCGGAATTAGTTGTACATTTCGGGCCGATTCAGAAGACTAGAGCACTAAAGATGTAGGTATTCTCACGTCTGCGCCATTTTCGCTCCATTCCCCCACTCCTTGCCCTCTCGCCTAATCACCATAAACTTCTTAGCTCAGCGAGGGCGAGCTAAGGCCGGTATTCATAGTCATTTCTTATATTTAAGATCGTCTTAAGTCGTCGTCATCGTCGTCTTAAGATACTATGTCAGGAGCGTTTTATATTAGAAATAGGCTGGATTGTTTAGGCATCTCTCAGGAAATTGTAACATTTTTTTCACTACATAAATAATGTTTATTTTCATTAATACATAATATATATATATTTAATTATTAATGAAAATAAACATTATTTATGTAGCAAAGAAAATATCAACGATTTGCGTCAAAGAATTGGAATGTAGAGCTCTACACTCCAATACAGGAATAAAACGCTCCTGCGCCAGAGCTATCGGCGGCTCGGCCGCCAGTGGCCGGGCGGTAGTGAGGGAACAGGAGGCGTCGTCTCCTGAATCGGCCCGAAATATGTAACTAATTCCGAGCGCTGTTCTATAGCAACTAACCTCGGTCTCTTCTATTATTGACTCACTCCAACATTTTTTTCAATCGATATTTTTGCATCGAAATCGGATGAGAATATCTCTGGGAAGTGAAAATCTTGCGTCCATGGACCCTAAGCTTTAAAATGTATGGGTGAGTATTTTGAAATTTAAGATGGCGACGTCCAATATGGCGATCCAAAGCCATTAATGTTACGCTTTTTTCGATTATTCCGAGCACAACAACTTCTTTTAATGAATTCCCAATAAAAATGGGTCTACTGAGGTTTTATGGGTCGCTGATTACAAATCTCTTATCAGATTTTCAAAATTCAAGATGGCGGATTCAACATGGCGGACGGAAATTCTCAAAATTGTTCAATTTTTATAAAAATTTGTATATAGGGGTTTTTTGGATCGCTGATTACGAAATCTGTTATCAGATTTCACGAATTCAAGATGGCGGACGAAAAGTTTCAAAATTCTTATTCCGTCCCAAAATGGGTTTTTTATATCAGTCAAATATAATGCACCCATCCTTGATAATCAATTCCACATCCAGGAAATTCAAATGGCCTCCCTATTTCTATAATATTTTGTATTGTATTCTTTCATGATATGAATTGAATATCTGTAACATTAAATCCATATAATATCTCGGAACAGCTAGGATTATGTTGTCCACATATCTGAGGTAAAACAATGGATGAAATGTGAGCTTATTTATCACTCTCTCCTCCATGTCACATAAAGTGATGTCTGCGATGATGAGTGAAAGAAGATAGCCCGTAGGACTCCCAAAAGTTTGTTTATAAATGTTACCGTCAAATCTAAAATATGTGAAACTTAATATGAATCTAATGGCACATGTAAATTCATCTTGAGAAAATGCTGTGTTCTTTGAAATAAAATTCCAATTTTTTTGATACTAGAAATTGCTAGTTCATTCAAAACATTAGTGAATAATGGCATCACAACGATATTTGATTACAATAATACTACATTTTTGGTTTAATTCTATCTCAAACAATAACATTATTAGCCAAACATTTATTTTCATGTGTCAATCATACTTGAATTAGCCGAAATTGTTAAAAAAACTAAAGATCAATCTACTCCACCGCAATCAATAATTGAAAAATCTCTACAAACAATTTTCATTATTTTTTCAGCATTATAAGTGTTATTATTAAACTATTTAAACAAAAATGGAAATTCTTTTAATGAAAATATCATCGACATGATTATTATTCAAAGAGTATCACGGTTATGCAATCAAATTCATAAAATTAAAGGAAATTATAATCCGCCAAAGTCGCACACATTTAAAAGTAGTTACAAGCTATAAAATGCTTTGTTTCGAATTAAAAAACCATGATTTTTTCCGGCGTTACAATGCTTTGAAAATTGCCATTTTTTGAACAATTTTCTTGCTTCCCTAATTGGGATTTGTAGAGTATTTTGTATTTAATTATTAAATAATTTAGTCTTAAATAATAAATATTCATTAATCTCTATAATATTAAATAAATAACTAATAATAATACCAATAAATTTCAATTAGACATATTTTACTTACGTGACGAAACTAGAAAATTGAATTATTAATTGTATAGCGGAAATGATAATACATTCATAAGTACAAAGGACTTAATACATGATTAATTACGTCAACTTGCTTATAAAAACTGTGCTTCAGTGCTTTATCATTCAGTCTTCAAACAATAGTCAATATTACAGTAACACAGCGCATTTTCAAAACCAAATATCATAAAAGACATCGCAACAAGTAAAACAAGATAAAATAAGATAAGTATATTAGCATCTATTTTTCTGCATTTGTATATCCAATAAAATTGGAATTATGGGTAACGAAAAAACATATCGATCGTATAATAATACCGAATCCAGTGACGAAATTGTTATTTCTGGCATAACTGGCAGATTTCCAGGCTCAGACAATATAAAACAATTACAAGAAAATCTATTCAACAAAATTAATCTTCTTAGATTAAATCCTCGATGGGATATAGGTGATTAATTTATAAATTATACCTTTGCATTTATTCATAAATGTGATTAATGGTCTTTTCTTTGTCATTAATTACAGTAGATAATTATACATTTTAAAAATGTACTTCAAACTATAATTTTACATTAATAAATGTACAGAACACAATATAGTTACAATTTACAAATATATATTTGTTAGAGCAACTAGATTTACCATTTCGCATGGGAACAATTAATAATCTGGAAAAGTTTGATGCCGATTTTTTTGATACATCTTTTAAAGAAACAAATATGCTCGATCCTATGATAAGAATATTAGTGGAAAACACTTACGAAGCAATTATCGACGCAGGGATCAATCCAAAACAATTACGAGGCAAAAATACTGCAGTAATCATAGGAACGAGTTACTTTGAATCACAAGCGGCATTTATATACGACAATTTGCAGGTGAAAAAAATCATTAATTGTTAAATATAGTAAAAAAAGTAATTGCAGATAAATTATAAAAATTATCATTTACATGTATAAATTTGCAATTACTCATATCATGTTATTAGAAAAGACATAAATATTATTTAATATAGCAAATCTATGGTGGCAAATATGCTTTTATATTTTCTATCAAAATGGACTACAAAATAAAGAAAAATTATTGATTTATGGAGATATCACACTATGACAAAATAAAAAAAAACATTTACATAATGATTCTTGTAATTACAAGATCTATATAAATATATCACTACTTCCTGTAAGTTAGATAGACGACGGAACCGTTATAGGATGCTCCAAATATGCAGCGGCAAATATGTTATCTCACTTATTCGATCTGAAAGGACCATCTTATACAGTGGATACTGCCTGCAGCTCGAGTCTATACGCCATCGCTTTTGCATATGACTGTATTATGTCAGGCCAATGCGAGGATGCAATAGTTGGAGCTATAAACCTTTGCTTAAGTCCTATTGTACATATGCAATTCTTTATGCTTGGTATTATTTTCACTAAAATTAATTAATTTTATAATACAAGCTAATTTGATATTGAAAGAATACTATACATAATTTTAGGTGTTTTATCTTCTGATGGAAATTGTAAGCCATTTGATATTGACGCAAGCGGTTATTCGCGTTCCGAAACCGTGTCGGTAGTATATCTTCAAAAAGCTAAAAATGCAAAAAGAATTTATGCTACATGTAAGCAGATTAAACTAAATAATGACGGTTACAAAGAAGAAGGAATAACATATCCATCGACACACATGCAAAGTGCTTTATTAACAGAGGTTTATAATGAGTGCAAAGTACCACCATCTGACTTGGATTACATCGAAACACATGGTACTGCTACTAGAGTTGGCGACCCTGAAGAAATCAATGCTGTCCATAAAGTTTTGTGCAAAAATAGAAGAACGCCATTGATAGTGGGATCTGTAAAATCCAATCTTGGTCACGCAGAACCTGCTAGCGGCTTCACACAAATCGCTAAAGTAAAACAATTTATTTAACAAATTATTTTGTCACAATTAAAAAACAAATCGTTTTTTAATTCTGACAAACAAACAAATTTAGAATAACAAACAAATTAAAACATTTAAAACAAATTACCAAAATAATTCTTTTATGCAATTTTATTATTATATTTTTTTATGCAACATTTTTGAGAAAGAAATATTTCCAATAATAATTATTAACGTTGGTAAAAAAGAACATTAAATATTAGTAATCCTTTTAATTAAATGTGATAATTACCAATTTTATTAATAAAGAATAAACTATAAATTCTTTATTTAATCAGGCAAAATGATGCTTTGGATACAAATAGACACAAAGATTCTTACGCTAAAGTGTTTTAGAATAGCAAATAATATTACATTTCATGTTATTAATCTTATTTCTGTTTAACAGAAAAAAAAAGATAAAGTACTATAATTAATTCAAATTTATATATCAAAATTTATCAATTTCTATAGGTGATAATAGCATTTGAAACCGGTTTTGTGCCGCCAAACATTAATTTTACATCACCACGGGACGATATAGACGCCTTAATGGATGGAAGCATTCGTGTCATCACAGAAGCAATGCCGCTTAAAAAATGGTTACGTAGGCATAAATTCTTTCGGTTTCGGTGGAGCCAATGCTCACATGCTATTACAATGGAATGTCAAAAAAAAGATTAATAATGGAGCACCCACTGATGATTTACCAAGACTTGTGATATTGTCTGGACGCACAGAAGATTCAGTGAAATTGTTTTTAAATGATGTAATTATTTCAGCAACAGCATTAACACCATTTCTAACAGCAAAGAACGTTACATTACGTATACTACATATATTTTTGAAACATTTATTTTGTAGATTGCTAATCATCCCATAGATATTGAATATATCCGTTTACTCCACGACATTCACACAGACGACATAGATGGTCATTCATGGAGAGGATACATTATATTGGATTCTCGGACAAAAAAATTCCATACAACAAATTCAAAATTGTAAAAACATAAAACGACCTATTTGCTTCATATTCTCTGCCTTAGAATCGCAATTGCCAGAAATGGGTATGTATCCAACATTCAAAATAATTTTATATGTACAAACTGATTAAGAAAATAATATATGAATTTTCAAACTTTATCAGCTAAAGAGCTATTAAAACTTCACGCATTTGCGAATGCTGTAAAAATGTGCGATGCTATTTTAAAACCATATGATATAAGTGTTACGAATATATTGACGAAAATGGATGAAAAATTAAACGAAAACGCTTTACATACTTTTGTTGGCATCATCGCTATTCAGGTATTATATTTCGAATCCGCAAATAGATATATTGTATGTACTGATAAGCGCAAATTTGAGTTTATTAATACTTTTTTTTATATTATATTTACTTTATTATAAAATATGTTAATAATAAATATAAATAAGAAACATTATTTATTTCTTAATGCAATATATATAATGACAAAATTGTTTATTAACATTGTAGATTGGCTTAGTAGATCTCTTAACATCTATAGAGATTATTCCGGATTACATAATTGGTCATTTTGTTGGTGAACTTGGTTGTGCTTACGCAGACGGGTGTCTGACGATGGAACAAACTATTCTGTCAGCGTACTTTATTGGTTTAGCATGTGTGAAAGAAAAACTAGATCATAGCTCTACCGCAGTTGTTAATTTTGATTACAATTCTCTTAAAGGAATATGTCCAGCGGATATTGAAATAATATGCAGAAACAACCGAAACAGCAATATTGTAACTGGCCCCGCTAAATCCATGCAAGAATTTTTGCGAAAATTGCAGGTATGTTGATTTTTTATCTCCTATAAATTATAGATTTTTTTTATTAATGTATGCAGTATTGCTCTTAACATTCGAATAAATATTCAAGTTTTTAATTTCAATTTGTCGCATTTACTAATAAATATATACTGCATTATATATTTTATTATAATCATATATTATAAATTATTATAATTATATATTAATTATACATATTTTTTTATCAGAAGATCAACATTCACGTGACAACAATCTCCAGCAACAACATACCTCACCACAGTAGTTATCTCGCTTCTCTGAAATCGCAGTTTTTTACAAAATTGAGCGAAATAATTTCAGAGCCGAAGGAAAGGAGTCCCAAATGGATCAGCACTTCCGTACCTCGCAATGAATGGTCCAATTCAACGTTAAAATTATGCTCAGCAAGCTACCATACGCACAGTATATTAAACACCGTTCTTTTTGAACAAGCAACGCATATGATCCCAGATAACGCCGTAATTATCGAAATTGCACCAGTTAGCATTTTGCAGGACATTTTGACAGAATCGATCCATTCAAAAGTGACGAACATTGTACTGACTAAGCGAAATAATCCAAATGCTATTGATTTAGTATTGCAAGGGATTGGAGAACTCTACAACTGTGGCCTACAGCCGCGGATCGCTAATTTGTATCAACCGGTGAATTTTCCAGTTAGCCGAGGCACTCCTATGATTTCTCCATCCATTAGGTACAATATATTTGTAAATTATTATATTGCATATGTAAATAAACGCATAACTGTATGATCAAACGTTTTAATACCATCAGATGGAATCATTCTGAAGATTGGTGTGTACATCACAAAGAAACACAAAAAATAATCAAATCCAGAGCAAGACGAATAGAAGTTAGAACGAATGGCGAAGATTATGGCTATATGACCGGTCACGTCATTGACGGAAGAAATTTCTTACCTGCGACAGGCTATCTAATGCTTGTTTGGGAAACTATTGGAATGATGATGGGCAAAATGCACAAATCAATACCAATAGTATTCCAAGATATAAAATTTATTCGGGCTACTCAATTATCAAATGAAAGCTCTGTGATTTTGATAATAACGATACAGAAAGGTATGCGTAAAGTTTTATTCTTTCAAAAAAAGTTTTTAATAACATAATTACTACAACATGTAATATTCGATGCAAAATTATTGTAGAGAGCGGCAAATTTGAAGTCACTGAAGGAGACAGCGTTGTTGTAACAGGTGTAGTACGCACTGTATCAAATGCCGAACGAGAAATGACGCCGAATGCTCTGTTATCAGTGGATACTGACGAGGAAGAACATATGACTTTTCGAGACATTTACAAGGAATTGAGGCTACGCGGTTACCAATATAGTGGTGCATTTTGTGGTATAAATAGCGCATCAGTATCAGGCAGCAAAGGGCACATCGCTTGGACAGGTAATTGGGTGACATTCATGGACAACATGCTGCAGATGTGCATAATTGGAAAAGATACCAGAGATTTATATATTCCAACGAGTATTGAAAAATTGGTAATTAATCCTGCACTTCAACCATCAAAATTGTGGGAAATGACATCCGAATTAAATAAACGTAAGTATCTTGCTTACGATTAAATAAATATTAAAAACATTATTATTTAAAATGTAATATTTTCTAAATTACCAAATTGCAGAATTACCAATACGTGTATATAAAGAAATAGACGTAATTAAATCAGGTGGAATAGAGATACGTGGCCTGAAAGCTACCTCGATTTCTCGCCGAAAACCAATCGGAGATCCCGTTATCGAAGAACATAAATTTATAGCTCACCAGGATCGCGCTGATATTTCGTTAAATGAAGCAATTCGAATATCGACGCAGTTGGCGCTAGAGGATCATCAGATCATTAAAGCAACAGCCATAGAGCTAGTGGAAGATACAGATGATGTAATGTTAGAAGATCTATCATCAACGTTACTGATCGAAGCTCTTGTTGATATTCCTTTAATACAAGCAAATGTTGCTATACTAACTTCGCCGAATCGTTTCAATCCAAAGGAACTGTCTTCAAATGTTTCAATTGCAGACTTAAACAAACCATTTGTAGGCGACAAAGCTTTGATAGCTGCAGGATTTAATCTTTTGACGAAACATCAGAATTCATTAGAACAACTTTTGCGTCTTTTGAGGGATGGCGGTTATCTTTTAACACGCGAGAAATGCAATTTAAATAAATATGACAAATATTTGAGTAAATATGCTTTAAGTGTTATTCTGGAAAAGCATACGGATAAAGAAATAATTATACTTCTAAAGAGAAAAGTTTCGATAAAGGAAACAACTGTTGTTCATATAAGCAATAATAATTTCAATTGGCTCGAAGAGTTGAAGCAACTTGTAGACGACGAGAAGAAACACGATGGCAATAGCAGAATTGTAATTGTTGGAGAGGGGGACTTTGAATGCGGTTTATTGGGTTTCATTAACTGCTTGAGAAAAGAGCCTGGTGGACAACTGGTTAGAGGTGTGCTTATTCAAGACAAGCATGCTCCTAAATTTTCTCTACAAGATCCGTTCTATATGCAACAAATGCAAAAAGATATGTCTGTTAGCGTTTTGCGACCTAATAGAATTTGGGGATCTTACCGACATTTGCGATTACCGCATTCAGGAGTCGAATCCGTAACTACCGCCTATGTATGCCAAACGGTATATAAAACCATTTGCCAAACTTAAAATAATCTATCAATGTGCTCTTGATACAATATAATTGTGCATGATTTAGTTTTAAATACTTTAAAAAACTTTTCTAACAAGCACTTTATCTAACAAATGTGTTTACTTATTTATCAAATATTTCTCTACAGGTACGCGGTGATTTAAGTTCTTTTTGTTGGATGGAAAATAATATATCTGTTGAATCTCATGGCAAAGATATAGTACGTGTAGTCTATTCGTCCATCAATTTCAGAGATGTAATGCTAGCAACTGGCAAATTAACGTCAGACTTCATAAAGTCGAGACGACTACAGGACATGTGTCTTGGACTGGAATATGTAGGATACGATTGCAATGGACAACGAGTAATGGGAATTTGTGACAATAAGTATGTAATTAAATAATATATGTACATATATATCTACTTAGTTTATCGTAATACACTAATTTGTGAATAACAAATTCGGTGTTATAGTTTTACATAATTTACACAAATTTATTCAAATATACAGATACAATTGTTATTTTATTTCTAATCGTTAGAAGAGATCATTATTTTATAATTACTCAATTAATAATTTAATTTATTTAATAATAATAATGTTGTTACGTTCTTAGGTGCATAGCAAATGTCGTTGTACGAGATAAAGATTTATGTTGGAAAATACCCGATTCATGGACGTTTGAGGAGGCAGCTACAGTGCCGTGTATTTACAGCACGAATTATTATGCCTTATATCATTTTGGAAAAATGAAGAAAGGTGATAAAGTACTTATCCACTCTGGTACTGGCGGCATTGGACAATCAGCCATTCATCTCGCTCTTCAGCAAGGATGTCAAGTGTTTACTACCGTGGGCACTGCAGAAAAACGTAAATTCATCAGAAAACTATTTCCGGCTATTCCCGATGAGCACATTGGAAATTCGCGAGACACGAGTTTCGAACAAATGATAATGCGACAAACAAACGGTCGTGGTGTCGACATTGTATTAAACTCTTTGGCGGAAGAAAAACTTACAGCGTCTGTTCGCTGTTTGGCAAAGAAGGGTCGTTTTCTAGAAATCGGAAAATTTGATATTTTATCCAACAATTCTCTAAACATGTCTTTATTTCAAAAAGATATCAGTTTTTACCCTGTTCTGTTGGATGCAATGTTTACCAGTAGTCATAAAAATAAATCTCGATTATCCAAATTAATGGCTGAGGGTTTAAAAAATGGAAATATTAAACCAATTCAGACGACAGTTTTTCCTAAGATGGAAATTGAAGCAGCTTTCAGATACATGGCAAGCGGTAAACACATGGGAAAAGTACGTTTACAACAATTAAACGTATCTTATGAATTATTATTAAAAAAGTTGTGCGTAACACGTTATAAATTTTATATTTTTAATACAATGATATGTTTATAGATTATTTTAAACATGCAAGAGGATGGTAAATCTTTGGATTCACCTGTTCTTGCACGCCGTCGCTATTACTGCCTCAACGATAGAACTTACGTTATACTAGGCGGATTGGGTGGATTTGGTTTAGAGTTAACTGACTGGCTGATACTTAGAGGCGCTAAGAATGTCGTACTAACTTCGAGAACTGGAATAAAGAATGGCTATCAGCGAATGAGGGTTGAGTTATGGAAATCGTACGGTGTAAACGTACAGATAGTTAAAGACGCAAATCTTGCTAATCCGGAAGACTGTGAACATTTCCTACAAATGGCGGAGAAACAAGCACCAGTAGATGCGATATTTAATCTTGCTGTGGTTTTGAAAGATTGTGTACTTAGGAACCAAACCATGGAAACTTTCACGGAATCTTTCATGTCGAAGGCCTGGACGACACAGACATTAGATAAAGTATCTAGAAAGATGTGTTTAAAACTTCGACATTTTGTAGTGTTTTCTTCCGTTTCTTGCGGAAGAGGAAACGCTGGGCAAACTAATTATGGAATGGCCAATTCCATCATGGAAAGAGTGTGCGAAAAAAGAGCGGAGGAAGGACTACCCGGATTGGCAATTCAATGGGGAGCTGTAGGTGACGTAGGTCTCGTCGCAGACATGCAAGAAGTCAATAAAGAGTTAGTTATCGGCGGGACTCTGCAGCAAAAAATATCTTCCTGCCTTGTAGAATTCGAGAAATTTTTGCTCCAAAACCGGCCGATCGTAAGCAGCATGATCGTAAGTGAAAAGAAAACGCGGTTATCCGGATCAGAAGACATAGTGGAAGTCGTTGCGGATATTATGAGTAAGAATTAACAAACAGATTACTTTCTGTTATTGCCTACTTAAAATGTAATAGTTTTTGCATGCATTATTTATTTCGATATAACAACATCCCAAAAGTCATTGTTGCATGCGCAAATGCGTACACAAACACATATACGCACATTTTCACGTACAATATCAAACTTGTTTGGTATAATATAATGTGTCATAATGTGTTTTTATGAATTTTGTGTTACAGATATAAAAGATATAAAAACAATAAGTCAAAATACACCTTTGGCTGAACTTGGAATGGATTCCATGATGGCTGTGGAAATTAAACAAACTTTGGAACGAGAATTTGATATCTTGCTTACTCCACAAGAAATACGAACTCTCACATTTGCAAAACTGATTCAAATGTCTAATGTAAACGTTAATAGCAACGAGACACAAACTGAAGCGGCAAATGATATAAATAAACCAGATCTTACGAAAGAACAAAAATTGTTATTTGGTGTTTTGAGAAATCAAGATTTTGTTTCAGAAATTTGTTTAGATCTTCCGACCAACACAGTGGATAATTCGACCCATGTATTTCTTTTACCAGGACTTGATGGCTGCGGAACAATATTTAATCATTTAGCACCAAAAATTAAATTTTCGGCAACATCCTTACAATATGGCAATATCGGTGTTGCAAACACTTTATCTGAGATGGCTGATTATCTTTTAATGGTATGTAATTGTAATTAAACGTCTTTCAGAAGTATATAATCACAGTTAGTAATTTATTTTGTTTTTATTCGAAAATTTTATTTAATGTTTTGCTCAACTATGCGTTTAATTTTTTTTAAATTTACATTTTTGATGTTATATTTTCAAAATTTATTCGGTTCTTTCTTGTTTTTATAAGAGTATTAAAATTAAAATTTTAAAATTTTTTGATAGCCCAGGTAGAAGTTTCCTTCGATCTTCCCTGAATATTTACGGGCCTTGCATGGGAAATATTAGCTTGAAAAATCCAGACGGATCCTGGCTTTTCGCTATAAATTTTCCACGATTTATCCTAGGTTTTGGTTAAAAAATATCTATCTGTGTTTTTTCCTGGATCTGGCCGGGTCTGATCAGGGAAAAAACCAATATTTTTATTCTGAACTTTCAGGTTATGTTAACGTTAAATATTTTACGGCTCAAAATAGTAATACCTTAGAGCATATCAAAGAGTTACGGTTCGAAATAAAAAAAAAACGGTTTGAAACGTACAAAATGTGTGATCGCGGCTTCTCATCTACTGTTGAGGAAGCGAAAATATCGGGCGAGGACAAAATCAGAAACAAAAATAGCGAACATTGAAACTGAAAGTGACACGTGTGATTGTTAAAGATAATGAAAACACAAGCTGCGTGTTTATACTTTATTATTAGTATCACAAACCAAAAAGAATGAATTAGTGCTCAGTGCACTCGGGTGAGACCATTTAAACCAAAAGAAACGATACAGTTTTGTTCTAGATATATGAGAGGAATTACAACACTTGCTTATAAACAAAACGGTTAGACTAAGACGAAAGCAACTAGAACTAACAAGACCGGAAACAAAAAACACACATCTATAAAAGTAGTTACTAAAGCTTACGTGCGCCACCGCTATTATAGCGCGCCTAAATTAAACACTATTGTTGCTTCTCAACAGTGATGAAAGTGACTTGATAAAAAACAAGTATTCGCGATCTAACAGTAATGAAGCTACTGATAGTGCTGTAAATGAGAATGTCTATCATGTACGCGACGAAGAGGAAACTGGTGGCCTGAAAATATTTATGGAAAATAACAATTCAGAGCTTGAATATGATATGTCAGATCCAGAAAAAGAAATCGAGAATTCAGAGCTGATATATTAGAATCAGAAAGAAAAATCGATGAATACAATGAAGGTCACAATAGTGAGGACGAAATGGTTGATGAAATGGAAAAATTACGTCAGTGGATTGTAATCAACCAAATTCCACACAATCAAGCAGATGAGTTGCTGGATATTTTACGACCTAGATTAATGCCACTTTTACCCAAATCTACAAAAACGTTTATAAGTACGTCATTCGCAAAATACAATATCGAACAATCCGGAGAAAACCCGAGTAAAATAAGGGCCCTAGGCGGGATTCGTGTATAATTTCTAGGAAAAACCGTGGAAACAAGCCTGGGCCTGGGTATATTTTAGATAACAGATCCGTCCATGCCCGCCGTCCCCCATTACATATGGGTCCAAGCTAGATTTCCCGGACAGATTCAAGCTATACTCGGGGAAAAATATTCAGGGCCAGGCTTTCTCCTAGATCAGATTTCTACCTGGGAGACGCGGAGACAGTTTTATATCATATTTAACCATAACAATATCATTATCGGAAATTAGATTTTTACAGTGCTTTCCGTGCAAACTGGTGTTTTGACAATTATATTTGTTACTATTAAAATTTATATATTGTCATATTATTTTGGAATAGAAAATGGCTTTTAGCTTACAGATGCAAAAGTTGCTAAATAAATTTATTTTTGTTTGTGTTTCTTCAGTGTATATCATCACGATTAAGAGACGAAAAAAAAGTCGTAATAACTGGATATTCTTTCGGTTCTTTTCTTGCAATTGAACTAATAAGAAGATTGGAGGCTATGGGTACTAAAAGTCGATTAGTTCTCATTGATGGAGGTCCGGAATATGTAATGAGTAGTGATCTCAATAAGTCTTTTTATATGAGCGATGAAGAAATTCAGATTAATATTATGATCATTATTCTAAAGATTTATGAAACAGAAATCAGTAAAGAGGTATAACTCCATTATTTATATTTTTTAAACTAATTAAATTTATATATTTTTTATTGCGGATATTTTATGTATGACTCATTTATTATTATCAGTTTTACATTGTAAATATTTCTCATTTTATAATAAGTTGATTTTAAAAGTAGGACGTATTATTTGACAGGTTTTATTGGAATTAAGAAAATGTGAAACTTGGGAAGAAAGATTTGAAATTTTCGCCAAACACTTTTCGAAAGTAAATTCACTTTTTGTTACGCCCAAATTTGCAAACACTGTATACAACAGTTTATAAAAATATACTGGCTATTCGGCAATATGATTCTTCTACATTACCGCGTATTAAATCACCCATAACGTTGTTAAAACCTACGTCGTCATATGCATCTGAACTCGAAGAGGATTATGGTTTGTATAAGGTATTTTGAGAAAACGTTTTATCAGTATTTAATATACCAAATTTTACAATATTTTTTATTGATAAAATTTTTAATGTTTAAGATAACTGAAAGCAAGGTTGTAGTACATCACGTCGAGGGTGATCATCTGACAATCTTAGCAAACGAGAAAGTGACAGCTGTGATTAACGAAGATGCGTTTTGATGTAAGTAATTTTATTATTGACGTTAATACAAGTATATAAAATCTTCTTATTTAAAATAATTGTTGTCACTGTTTCTGAAGTACATGCTTTATTATGATTAACTTTAAAACTATGTAAAAAATTTATATTTTGTTTTTTTTTATCTTGTTTTCTAGATTGCACATTAAAAAGTTATTATAATATATGAATTAAAATATTTTGTTATTTTGATGAATATACAGGGTGATTCAAAATAACCTGATGTCCTTGCAATGCCATATTCTTGAGCGAATTCTGAGAC